TGGCAGTACCCAACTCATGCTCTATATCTCTATATATATATATAAAATACTATACCCCAAAAGGAGAACATAATCTTACTCTATATTGGGTACCATAGTATCCCCAAATAGAATACTACACAAATAGCCCCTAGACAATCCCAGTTTCCATTTCATTTTCCATTTGATTCTCCATTATAGGGCCCTAAACCCTATATTGGGTACCATAGTATCCCCAAATAAAATACTGCCCATTTGGGAGCCTGGTGGGACTTGGCGGTGAGCTCCGGCACTTCCTGCACCAGCCAAGGCTTGGCCTCCTGCAGCGCGTCAGAATAATGGGGTTTAGGGTTTAGGGGTTTAGGGTTTAGGGTTTTAGGGTTTTAGGGGTTTAGGGGTTTAGGGTTTAGGGTTTAGGGCTTTGGTTTTAGGGTTTAGGGGTTTACGTAGGGTTCTAGGGTTTAGGGTTTCGGGCTTAGGTTTCAGCCAGGTGACGGCTTAAAGTTAAGGACTTTCCTTAGACTCGAGAGTATGTCATGTTTTGAAGTATTGTATACAGGGGACCCTAACCTTGAAAAACGTCGATGGAAAAAAATGTGACTGTTGAAACTTGGGGTTCCTGTGATGTAGCCTTTTTATTTGAGGTTTATGGCTTGGCAATTTACTCGTATGAGTCATCATAAGACATTCGTAATGATGTTGAGCATCATCGAAATTCTGGCATGGGCGGGCGCGGCAGTAATAGTTCGCATGACATGACAATCGCGGCATTACTAACACTAGCCATCGTGGCAAAAACAGGCATCATTGTATCATGAATTCCTGGGGATGGCAAGTTGTCGCCGCAACAGCCTGAAATACGCCTAGTTTGGGGATTGTAAGCTGCAACGACCCTTTCAGGGTCTGTACCGGAACAAGCACCACTGGAGTGAAGTCAGCACGACAAAACCCTACATGAACCGTCCTCGGCCGTCTCTTCCTTGGCGCCTCCAGGGCTCGTGACCTTGTCACCTTATGCACCAGCCTGGTTTGGAACTGCTGCCAAACTCACAACAATTCCGAAAGAGCCCATGACATGAGGTCCCAACCCATGCCAGACTCAGAGTGCAAGTTGACCCAGTCTTTCAAGGCCAAGAAATTGAACTCTCCAGAATAAGTATCCTGCCAGGGAAATCATTCAACCGATGCAAATGAAACCAAAAGCATCAAAGCCAAGCCTTCTTCTCTCCCTTTGCCCCTTGCTGTATGAGAACCTGTCAAAGACACTGTACCTGTGTTTTCAAAGTATTTGCAAATTGAGGTCCAAGCAGTGGGGAACTTCTTCACCTCGCAACAGGGAACGCTCTCAGTGCATGTAGGAGAGCAGAGCTCGACAGTGCGTCACGGCACCCTGCGGTGCCTTGAATCGCTGGACAATGTCAGACTGGTCCTCCGTGACAAAGCCGAACTTCACAGTTCGCTTGAAGACCTGAGCTCCACATGAGCTACAGTCTAAATTCCTAGTATCCCCCGTAATAGCCCCTATATATACATAAATCCCCCTTTGAGGAGTTTAGACACTAGCTCCACATGTCCCACACGGAAAGTCAACAAGAACAGGTCCAACGTGGGCAATATGCAGCAAAGGAGCCGTCTCCGAGGAAAGCGCCTGGAGAGCTTCCAGCGCTTAGGGAAAATGGAAAAAAAGAATGTGAACTCCTGTATAACATATTGGGGCTAGATAGGGATAATGGAAAAGAACATGGAAACTACTGTATTGTATATTGGGTAATTCTATGACATTTGAGTAGCGTTGTTTTTGGTGGTTGAACCTAGTAAGATTACATTCCTTATGTAAAATACTATACCTCAAAAGGAGGATATAATCTTACTCTATAATGGGTACCATAGTATCCCCAAAATGAAATACTACCCATTTAGGGTTTAGTGTTTGGGGGTGGCTTCATCAAGGCTTAACGGCTTCATAAAGCTTCGCACCTTCCACATCAGGGGGACGGACTTCTTGTTGGAGAAGAGCAGCGCCTGTGCCAAAGCATCATCGTCAAAGCAACATTACTTTGCTAGGGATGCAGTGATTATTGCAATTTGGTAGTTCCCCCAAAGAGGGGAACCCTAATATGTAAAGCCCCAAAATGCTATAGTCTTTGTTATGGGGACCCCCAAAAAGGGTACGCCTGATTTGGGGAAACCCCAATTTAGAGAATGGAAAATGGAAGCAAGGAGGCAAAACCTCGAAGCCCTTTCAAACTCAAAGCACCAACCTGGAACGATGGCCCCCCCCCCAATCCTACACCCCAAACCCTAAGCCCAAAATACTATAAACTTACCAAAATATACTATTTAGTAGTTTGCATGTTCTTTTCCATGATCCCTTTGTAACTCCAGCATGCTACATAGTAGTTTCCATTTTCTTTTCCATTTTCCCTACATAACCCAATATATCCCCCGGGAAGCTGTGAAAGCTGGCCTTTGGCTTCGTCACATCGGTGGTGAGGAACTTGTCCACGTTCTCCTACGGCTTCCGACACAAAGAAGGTAGTTTCCAAAGATTGGGGGTTTGCCCAAAGCATGTTCAAAATGGTGGGGACTTGTATGATACGTGCAGCACCAAGATGCCTCCCGGATTGTGGAAACTCCCACGTCCAACTTTGACAAGCTGCTCTATATAACCCCAATATAACCCTAATAACCCCAATATAACGATAATATAAGGTAGTTTCCCATAATTAGGGTACCCCAATATGGACCCCATTATACTATAGGCCTTATGATAGGGACCCCCAAAAAGGTACCCCTTGTTTTGGGAAACCCCTATAAAATGAATAATCCCCCAACCCTAAACCCTAAACCCTGTAACCCCAATATAACCCTAAGAACCCTAATATAACGATAATATAAACTGAAGAATCCCCCAATAACATGTTCCAGCCTTGGTGAGTTTCTCGGTTTGGTCGGGCATGAACTTTGCTAGCTTGTTGAACACAGCCTCGCGTGGGGGGTCTGAAGTGATCGGCGCAACGGGACGTTAATAGACATGGTCATCAAAGTAGTAATACTCGTACTGATGATAACTGTAATAATAGTAATGCTAATATGTTAGGAGGACCCCCCACCCTAATATATTCCCTATTATCCCCTATAGTCACTATCACTGGGTGGGGGGTCCACCTAACCCTAAACCCTAAACCCTAAATAGCACCAGTGTCCCGCCTTGCCCTCCAACTTGCCCTCTAACTTGAAGGCAGGCACCGGGTTTGGAGGGTAGATCATGACCGCGGGGGTCTCCTCCACCCAGGCATTCTCGATCCATAAACTTCGATTGGAATGTGCATTACAGTCAGGGACAGCAAATGTAGCTTGTATTGCAGCAATTGCAAATATAAATGTCACCATTAATGTCATATTTTTGAAATGTTTTCTGATAGATTGATTGAAAAAATATGTAATCATGATTCTGACTGCAGAGGCCAGCCTTGACCCCCTGCTTGTCGCAGAAGACGGAGTACCTGCACAAGCTGCGACCGAGAGATAGGAATGACAGGTCAGCAAGCAGAAAAAGCGAGATTGCCATCATCATCATCATCAACATCATGATTCCTACTTTTCCCATAGGCAAACGTGCCCAAAACAAAGTAAAAGTGCAATGCATGCGATAAATTAGGGGGGTCCAGTAGGGCACTCGTTGCAATTGATGGCGCAGACCTTTGCCATGCCTTTCATGTCTGATGCCACCTGCAAACACAATGAACTATCCTAACGAACTCAGAACAACACATTGCACGCGCTGCTATCACTGTTACTAGTACGATTATCATTATCATTACTTTTACTGCTATCATTACTATTACTCTGGTCCATCGCCAACTTCACCTGCTGCAAGCCGCCTTGTTGTACTCATCCAAAAACTTGCCGTCTTCTTTGCTGTCATCTTTGAAGAACCACAAGCCTACGGTGTAAAAACAAATGTATCATGAAGCCACAAAAGGTGCTGCGCATTGCATGCCACAAAAGTTTCCAACAAATTCTCTGCTGAGGGCTGCGCTGCTCACTGAGCTGTCCCTGAATTTGGAAATGATGCCGTCAAACGTGGATGCCTAGCCATTCGGGCGAGCTTAGCCATTGCAAACTGCTCAATCTGATCTGATTGACCCGCCTGGATCTGCATGATGTCGTGCTCCATCGCCTTCGGCCCATGCACGAACATGCACGAACAAGCACGAACAAGCAACATGGCCTAGAAACTATCAGACCGTCTCAAATTGGTGGGGCTCAAGTTGATTTTGGGAGACAAGGAGGTAAAAAAACAAACTCCCATGTGAGTCAAAGGCCTCGATCTTCACTTTGCCAATCACGAGGCTCGGCGCCACGGCCGCGAGGAGCCAACGACTCATGGTTAACCTGAACTGAAATTCTGGAAATCGAAGGTTCTCAAAAAGGTTCGCCCTTCGATTAAAGTGACCGCTGCGAAATGCTGAGGGCAAGGCTAGGTATGTTTGGCGTCCAGCTAACGAAAAATTGCACAGCCCGGTGACTGACCCGAGCCAAAATCAACGATCACATGCGTCGAACAAGAACAAACCTTCCCTTTGCCACGGCCAATCACATGTCTGACAAGAACTCCAAAAAAGTTGATTGGAGGCTGGCCTGTGAGCAACTTCTCCGACCTTGCTCCACACAAGTTTACATCAAAACGTCCGGGGACTAAACAAATACAATTGAAACTGGATGCCAAAGCCTCGTTGGCTTGCTCAGCCAACTCCATCTCTTCCAAACTGATTTGTGTCAATTCCACCTGCGCTCATTTTTTGGACGCCCTGCCCCCCCCCCTCCCCCCGACCGCACCAAAGCAAGCAAGGCTCGCGAGCAATAATTACTATCGGATTTCAACGGCACTTGACTTGAGGTGCCTCGGCATCGCTGCCAATGGTGCAAGCCCTCAACGTCACAGCTGGAGCTTCTGGTGCAGAAGCTTCCTTGTGAGAAGCGGGTCAGTTTCCACGACAACCGAAAACTCAGCAAAGTCAACCAAGGCAACAGCCGGTGGACGGAAAGATACTTTCATGACCTACCGCAAGCAAACCCTGTGTGCCCAACATCAACGCAGGCAGCACTGGGATCACGGCGACGTCCGGAGCATCAAGCTCTTGAAATTCGCTCAACGCAGCACACCACACCTGCTGTGAGGCTGTCAAAGGTGCTGGCATAGATGCAAAACACTTGCTAGTCTGACCATGCTTGTAGACTCTCCCAACAGGGGCCCCACTCGCTTGGGAAACTGAGTCCAGAATTTGAAGGCGCCTCTGCCTGCTTCGCTCGGAAGGAGCTGGGCCTGCACACCAGCTTTTCACCAAGGCTAATGGCCTCAAAACGAACGAAATACAAGTACGTACACTTTTCACGCGGATGAGGCTTCATAGGGGCTGCACAGGGACCTGCCCTACTTCTGAGGATTGCTTTTTCTCGGATCCGCCTCTCGCTGGGAGCAAGAAAGGCAGGAATTGTCTCTGGGACCTGCGCTGCTGCATGATGCCGCATGTGTCTGGCAGAAGCACAATGCAAGGATGGACCTCATCGAGAACTAAGGTCTTCAAGCGGCATTCTGTGATTGCCCCATCCTCCTGCAAGGTGTCCAATGCTTGCTCAGGCAAGAAAACATGGCATCTTCTGCACAGCGCCTCTAATGAGAATTGAAGTTCATGGGCACCCTCCGGATACCTGACCGAAACTCGAGCTGGCGGCAACGTGGAAGTGTTGAGAGCACGTCAGCTGTGAACATGCGCGCTTTCCTTCTCACAAAGCCTACCTTCTGGTTGTCAGGCTCCAGCAGTATTTGCCAGCGCCGACGGTGCATTTACACAGCTGGCATGCCAACCTTTCAACTTTGTACCACCAACCGTCCACACCCCCACAAGCCATCCCAAATGTGCACTGGCCAGGATCACAAAAGACAATGCTGCGAAATAACGAATTGATGGCTGCGGGGATCTGGAGGGTGGCAAGGCCTGTCAATCTTTGCAGGCCTTCTGAGGTTGTCCTCCATGACAGGTGTCCCAATGTAAACTTCCCTTTTTGGAAGGTTGTCTTGTGCAACATACTCAACTGTAAGCTGCCCTCAGCCCCACGATGGCCCCACAAAGCCGCACCCTAAACCCTAAACCCTGGGTACTGCGAGTCTTATTAAGGGCTCTAGATAGAAATATATATATATATGTATAAATTCATTTAGTTAGGATTCTCCAAGTAGAGTGAGGGCAGTACCTAACCTACACCCCAAACCCCTCCGCTTGACCTTCAAAATCCGTGCGCGGCCGGGGCACGTCAACGGATTGGCCCATCCGGTCAATCCACCATGATGGCCTGGCTGTGATTTCAGGGCTTAGGGGTGGAGGGCTCAGGGTTTAGGGTGCGGGGTTTAGTGAGTGTTTAGTGTTTAGGGTATCTAAAACTTCCGAACATCAGGGATTATACGTGGATGTATGGGACTATATGGCGATGTATATATATAGTAATAATGGAAAAGAAAATGGAAACTACTACCTGGGAATAAGCCAAGTAATGGAGAACGGAATAGAATAGAAATGGAAAATGTAATAGAAACTGAAGCTATATAAGGATTTAGTTTCCCAAATTCGGGGTACCCAAAGGGCCCCTATAATACGGATTCTAATGTTTGGGGTCTATGAAAGGGTCCCTTTGTTGAAATCCACCCTTTGGGCGTTATTGGGATTACATGAGACTAGCACCGGGGCATATAGAGGCGCATATTCCAAACATATGTTTATACGGGTATTGAGACTATGTGAGACGATTGCAGGGGTCTATAACGGGGTATATTTGGAGGTTAAAATTTCAGGGCTTTGTGGGGATTGGAAAAGAAAATTGGAACTATTCTATCGTTTGTGATGCTGGGGGTTATATGGGAACTGGGGATATTACCCCAATAGTGGAGAACCAGATGAAAAAGGAATTGGAAAATGGAGTGGACACAGGGTGGAGGTTTCCATAAATGAGGGGCCCGAAGCTAAAGCCCGAACCCCAAAAAGGTGCTAAGCCCTAAATCCCTAAACCCTAAACCGCAAATTTGCAAAACTCGCACGCCCAAAGCCAGGCACACGAAGAAGGCACGGTTTCCCAAAATTAAAGGTACCTTAAAAGTGGGTATAGGTGTTATATGAGGATATTATAAGGAGATATAAGGTTTAGGCTTTGGGGTTTCCCAAAATTAGTGGTACCTTTCAAGGATGTATAGGGGTTATGTAAAGATATTATAGGGATAAATAGGATTTAAGGTTTGGGGTTTCCCAAAATTAGGGATCCCTTTTTGAAGCACAGACGGGGTCTGAGGCCGGCACATGTTTTGAGGGTCCCTATAACAAGGGTTTAGGGTGGGTCCATATTGGGATCCCCATATTGTGAGAAACTACCATGTCTGATTCCAAGCTGATAGGGACTTGGACACCGTACGCCTAATTCCGGGAACCCCTAAACCCTAAACCCTATATCCCTATGTAACCCCCATATCCCCTTTCATAGCCATCGTGCACGAATTTAGGCTCTCTGGGCCTGGGCTGCGCATTTATGATCAGGGCGGACTTTTAGGGTTACATCAGAGGGGCGGGATTTCTAAACTCTAAAGCTTTTTCACGTGAGCCACTGTCTAAACTCCTAGCATCCCCCTCACTAACCCCTATAATGATACTCCCCTAGATATATATATATATCTATCTATCTATCCCCCTATGGAGTTTACCCTAAACCCTGAACCCTAAACCCTATGTAATCCCCTATATGACTCCCTTTCAGAAGTTTAGACTATAGCTCATATAAACCCTAAACCCTAAACCCTACATATACCTCACACACTGGAGCTCTAGCCCTTGGTGTCCTCAAGGCACTCCCGGGCAGAACCTCGATTGTAGCTGATCCTGAGCTGGGTTTGCTTACTGGTTCCTAGTAGGGGATAAGGGTTTAGGGTTTAGGGTTTAGGGGGATAAGGGAATATATTATATGAGCTATAGTTTAAACTCCTTAAGGGGGGTTATATAGGGGATTATATAGGGTCTAGGGTTCAGGGTTTAGGGTCTAAACTCCAAAGGGGGGGTCACAAAGGGGATATATGTTATAAGCGCTATAGTCATTAGGCCCTATACTACTCCCCTACATTCATCTATATGACCCTTCTGTAACCCCCTTTAAGGAGTTTAGACCATAGCTCATATAGGGTTTAGGGCTTAGGATAAGAATAAGGGAATATATCAACCAGTACGGTTGGTAGCTCAACAAAAAACTGAATTCATTTCTTGCAGATTCCCTGCAGATGCTTGGTTCAAGCATGCCTTGTTGAAGGTACCACTTGTGTGATGCCTGTGCCAAAAAATCTTTGTGCCTTGGGGGAGCATAGAAGCCAATATATGGAGCAAAACTCCGCAGTTAAACATATATCACACAACTAGTTATCCACACTTGCGCCAAAAATCCTCCTTCGCCGCCGATGCAGCTTAAGGCCATGGTATCAACCTCCACCACCGGCACAAATAAAGGGCTGGGTCCTGGACAATCAAAGCACAAACAACCCAGCATCGGTGACTATAGCAATTGCAACACTGCAGGAATGGAAAATCAAGCATGCGAGGATAGGGATATGAGTAGCAACCACTGTCGTACTCTCGTACTCGTGGCGATGATGATAACAGGCGTCAGTGCCGCTACTTGACCAGGGCTGTTACAGCAATAGGCTGAGCTGGGCTCCGATACATGAATGGATACTAATGGGCTCCTGACGATCTCATGACATTGGCAAGCGCAATGCCAGATTTGAGGTCTTGCTTCAGCACTTCTTCGAACCTCCACCGCCTCAAAAACTGCCTGGTCTGCACGAATCGTGTTGGAACCATCGGGACAATCTTTGGCGCGGCCGCAACCTTGCATCTTTTTCCCTCCCAGACCTACTGCTTGTTAGACCAGGCTTCGTAGGATTCCCATCTTCAAACCTTTTCAAATGGGAATATGGCAGTTGAAGCGTCCTGCCGATCCCTAACACCTGGCAGCCGCTTAAAACAATGGATCTTAGAGCAGCCATGCAACATCACGTGGCGCCTGCGCTTCCCGGGCAACCTCGATCTCCTCAGTCTCCTCGCATCCAAAAGGCTTTGTAAAACCTGCATCCACAGCGACACTGAGCGCTTTCTGCATCGGCTCAAGGACCGCAAGCACGAAGATGTCAAACAGGCCACCAGCCGGCCATTCATCAGGTATCTCACATTGCGTGATGGCGCCCAGCAGCTGCTCTTGTCGGAGCCATGCAATGTCAGACAAGACACCGGCGGGTGTCGTGTGCGGACTTGTCTCACCATTGGCCAAGGGGATCACGAACTGTTGATCAAACAGGCTTGTGTCCCAAGCTCCCGCAGGACGAATGGTGGAGTAGGCAGGATTTGCAAAAACGCCAACCCCCAGCTTGAAGACAGCAGAAAAAGCCTCCGCGACGTCTTTAGTGTCCAGTGCTTCGCCTGCCTTGATTGGAGTGGGCCGTGCCAACAGGATCCGGAACCTTGACGCAAAGTTCTTGCAACCGAGCTTTCACAAAATGCTGTGTAAAGCCCATCCAATCAATTACAACCCAATGCAAAGGGCCAAGGTATTGGCAAGCACGCTCTGCTAGATGACCTCACACCACTGCATATGCTTGCCAGCAACAAGAACTCATGCCGTCCAGTGGTGACTGCACGTGTTGCTATCAGAACGGGCGAACCTCAGCTTGACACAACAAGTTAGCAACATGTGTAGAAAAGGATACGTCAAGAGTCGACGTATAAAAAACAAGAGAGAGTGGCAATCACAATAAATGCTCATGAGAAAGCAGACGTCAATTAAAGAATCAGCACAAAAAAAAACATCCACAGTCATAGCCTATGCAGAGTCAAGGATGACTCTGCTAACTACCACAATGCCAATCCTAAAAGCTACCGTCGGTCTAATTGAGCTGACAAGTCCATCTGAAGCGCTTAATCGGGCCCTCTGAGGCACACATACCTGATTGCAATAGATAATTCAGGCTTTCTGCGTGCGCTTATAGCTACTGCTATGTCGAGGCTCTTCTTGCCTTTTCGTCGTCTGGCTCGTCCTCCATGTTATCAGACAGAGCAGATGCCTCTGTTCCCGCACCCGACTGCGCGGAAGATGCTGAGATCAGGCGGGTAAAATCGGACCTCAACATGGCTTGCCCAAACACAAACCAAGCAAAATGGATCACACTCTCTTAGTTAGAGAGCATCCATCTAGCACTGTGTGGCAGCACTCCAGCTGCTGGAGCTTGAAATTGCGTCTGGGCTCAATGAAAGTAAGGGGTGCGTAGTAGAAGCAAGGCTGCTAGACTGCCGGATGCTCGTTCCCACAGGAACAAGATAAAGGCAAGAAGTGCTGCCACTCTCAAACATGCAACCATTGCAAAAAGCGGCCCAAGATGTCTCCAGAAGAGCTCCCAATTTCATCAAGCCACAGACCCGGAATCTCGGCAGTGGCCGTCAGCCTGACATCTCTAAGACACCAGCACTCGGCCACTTGTCTGTCATACACCTGCCTAGACAGCAATCTGCACAAGTTTAGCCGCCAAGCTGGCTTTTGCTGTTGCACGTCAGTCCCAGTCCGGCCCGCCTCCGCAGCTGGTCAGGACCGTCTTCTACTCCAGTACGTGGAACCGATCCTTGTTTTCGCTAGATGCTAGGATCTTCCGCTAGGAGATGGAATCGCTGTGAATCTCTGTTTTGCGATGGCCTTTGAAAAAGGATTTGCATGCAATCAAGCTCTGGTTCATCAATTTGTGTTGTGCAAAACAAGACAGTATTTTGCAGTGGCGGCGTGGCTACGATCCGGTTCAGGTTAGGTCCACATGGCTAGTTCACGTATCTCATCAAGTGTCACGAGTAAGCTAGGGCTGTCAGGCGGCGGCAATGAAATGTTGTAGCGCCCTTCTCAACGCAAAACGAGGAGAAATAGCGTTCGGCGTGCTGAGGCATGGCCATCACCGTGTGAAAGCACCGTCGCCGGACCATCCACGAGCAACTCGGGGACACGTAGGCCACCCGTTTGCCGGCCAACCTGGACGCAGCGGCATGGCTAGAGCTTCACTGAAAAAAGACATGTAAGATAGCCAGAAGTATGCAACAAAATTCCAAGCTCTAAAGCGTAGCGCTTGCAGTCTGGGCTTCCAGCTTCTTTGCAGCCTTCAGCTCCTCCGAAATGTCGTGTTCCTCCTTGTGCTCATGCTTCTCCTCGAGTCTACGGAAGTGCGTGTGCTCCAGGCCGAACCGCACATCCACCGCATCGCAGATAGCCGCAGTGCCTGCGCTTTGGAAATTTCTTTCTTAGGGACGGGCAGTGGAGTATGCGTGCAAAAAGAGGCCATCATGGGATGCAGGGCACCCTGAAGGAAAGCATCCGTGGCATTCGCAGCTGTCTCCAGCTGCACAGATTGCGTGCGCCACTCCGTAGTTTCTGGAGCCACCGCCACGGAACTGCCCACAGGGACGCGAGCCTCGGTGCAAAGGTGCAAACATCTAAGGTTGAAACCATGGGCCCCTAGTATATGGGTCCTTAAAGATCCCTAAAATCCCCCCTTCCAAGGGTCCATATTAGGGGCCCATACTTCTTAGCCACGCCCTATGGCGCTCAGGCGCTGTAAGGATGACTCGAATCGCATCACCTTGGCTTGGCTATCAGAGCTCACTCACTGCTCCCAAAGCTCCCGCTAAGCATGAGCTCACCTCTCATGGGGCCAAAGGCACTCATCGCCCTTGCATCTGAGGCCTGTATGTCTTCTGAAAGCCTGGATTTCCTCGCCATATCCACCTTGTGGGTGGCCCGCCGGTCTGAGCGGCGAGCACCTTAGTACTGGCGCAAAGCAACTCAGCACAGCTCTTCCTGGAAGCAATCCGCTGTTCCCTCTCTCAGGCAGGAGTTTCCGAACATCACAGGCTCCAAAAACCTTATCCCAAATCTGGGGCTCTTTGCATCCGAGCCCAACAAGGAAACTCCTGAATCACACCCGCGCCCATCTAGGTTTTCAGGCCCCCCCCTTTCTGCAGTTCTCCTTCGGGGCTGCCTCCTAGGAATCGGGAATGTATACAGGAGATGGCTTTTGAACTGATGGGCTTTCCAAAGGTGACCCTTAACCTCTCAGAAATGTCACTAAAATTCACGAAAAAAATGACGTGCTCACTAACATGATTGATTGTGTGAAGCCTGCAATGCAAGTGGGTAGAAGCCTCAACTATGCCTCTCACAGTGCACCCAACTGCTCTCATAACAGCTCCTCATCCAAGGCTGTTCCAAATCATTCTCAGATGCTGGACTTATCTACGCAATCCATCAAAGGCTCAGAAATGTATACAGGGAGGGGTCAGGCCTACGAAGCCTTGAAAACATCTGGGGATGGACCCGTCCACAGCCAATCACAGCCCCCAGAATGTATACTGAGGGGCGTTCAGGCTACAAAGGGGAGCCTTGAGGATATTTGGACACCCTTCATGATGGCAGTCAAATCTGCATACGAGACCTGAGGAAAACTGCCAAGATTTGTTCAAGGGTAATCATGGCACATTGAATGCGGATGGAAGGGCATCATGCATGTTCCACACATACCCAAGTTCCAATGCACAATATGCCTGCACCAAACTCATACGTACAAGTACAGCATGCTTGCTTCATTTTCTAACAGAGATTTGTGGACCGGACTCAATCATGCAATGAGGGCCAAGATCTTCATTGGTTCCTTTCACCACAGGGAGGCCGGTATACGTTTGCAGGGGCCCCAGAAATCTGCACTCCACAACTACCACCCTCGCATGCATTAGTTAGGTGTGGGGCTCCCAACAAGTTTGTATCAGCAAAAGCCTTACGATCGAGCTGCTTGGTGCTGGCTTTTCGGCCTTCTCTGGGGCCTGCTTCTCACGCTCCGGCGGAACCTGGGTCGCTTACTGCCCGTGCCAGAAAAATGCCCCAAAATTTATCATCAGGTAGGTGGTGGAAATCAAGCACAAATTAGTTAAACAGCTTCTGCAGGAACAGCATCTGGAAGAGCATCTTCCCTTCGGCCAGGCGCCCTGTCCCCGCTGGTCGACTCGCGAGGTGGCATGGCCGGTAGCGCAACTCCTCTGGTGCAAAGGGGTCTGTCAAGCTCAACACCGCAGAAATACTGACAATATGGACAGTATAAGCCGCCATGCTAGGACTCGTGCTCTTGAACGGCAAGAAGAATTCTCAACGTACGGTTCTGACAAAGGACGACAAAGCGAGCTCAAAGATGTGGGGCAATTTTCCGATTGGCAGGGAGATGCTCGCCAACCCAGGTGATCTGGTCTCAAAGGAGGACCCTTTTCGGAGGACTCTGAAAATTCGCCCACAAGTTTCGAAAACAAGCTGCATGCGCATCATTATCCCAACAGTCCCTTTTGGAAAAGCCGAAGCCCACAAGGATCCGAACTCGTTTCCTAGCAGCAAGATCAAGACAACCCGCTTCAGGCAAACCATCGCTTAAACTCTCAATGAGGCACGCGCACCTTCAAGTACTGCTCGTGTAGAAGTAAATCAAACAAAGTTTCTCCGGCTAGCGTATGCTATACCCTTAAAATCATCTAGTCCTTCATGTACGATCCCACTGATCCAGTCCTGCGGATGCACGCCAGCGGTCGGCATCAGTCAGAAGGGTTTCTGGAATAATGCGGTTGAAAGCCAGCCGTTCCATAAACCTCAACGGAGCGGGGCCGTGAGAGGACAGCGACACAAAAACACAGAAATGGCCAAAGCCAGCAGTCAAACAACAGCGGTCATAAGAGTTATAAGAGTTCTGTCTAAGGCATAAGGGAAGGATTCGACTAGCCAGCTGATTAAAATGCCACAGACTGATGGCCTTTGCACTCTGACGTTATGACCAAAAACTTCTGTTTCAACCTCGTAGCTCTGAATGGATGTGGCCCCAACGAACACCCCACTTGGCCGACGCCGCATAGATGCGCGGAGGAGCTTTTTCGGGTTGCGGGCCCTTTTTGGACCAATTCACCCACGGCTGCCCTTTCAGCCAGGCTTCCACGACCAGGAGCAGCTCAGACTCCAAGGAAACCACCCAGGCATCACTTGACAGCAAGTGTCCAAGCGCCTCCAGATTCAAGGCTTGAACTGCAGCGATCCCTGCGTTTCCAGAAAACTTGCCACCGCTTCTGGCCAAGACCTGCGCACAGACTGCAAGCTCGTGGAACAAAGACTTTGTGCAAACGAATAGAACCGAGTGCTAGAAACCTTAAGAGACAGCAAATTGCACCTATCAGTGACACCTCTGCTCAAATGGAACGAAGCTTTTTGGCGACACCCAACGCCATCAAGTAGTGGCACTGCGCTGTTATGTCATGTATCCAGGTTGAAGGTTGCTAGAGAATCCCTCTGGTAGTGGCATGCTGGTAGCAACGTGCCTCGCAGCAGCATTTCATCTCAGGTTGCAGGTCGTGGGCGCAAGTCAGCTTGAGCAGTCCCCACAGCATCTCTATGGGCGCGGTGGTGCACAGATCCATTAGCAGGCTCCTTCGAGCGCGGAATCAGGAGAGTCTTGCGGCCCCTCACCCATCTTCACCTCGCTATCTTGAAAACCTAGCCACTGATAGACCTGCAGTCGATTTTGTCATAAGACCCCAGAATGAAGCCAGAAAATGCTTTGTGCCTACAAAATATTGCATGCTGTGCAAGAAAGCCGCATACTTTGCCCAACAAAAACCTTTTCCAGGCAGCTCTAGAACATGAGGATCCTTGAAACAGGAACCGTGAGAGAAGTAACCATAATGCGTGAGGCCAATCTGGAATTCCTGCGGCTGTTTTAGGCAGTTCCGATGATGTATCCCTTTGCATTCCGTAGGTGCTCCCTCTTAAAAACCATACATGAGCTATAGTCTAAACTCCTTAAAGGGGTGTTATTTAAGGGATTCTAGAGGGGAGTATTATAGGGGTCATTGAAGGGGGATACTAGGAGTTTAGACTATTCTGGGCTATAGTCTATGAAGCTACCAATGCCCCTATGGGAACGAGGTCCTGAGGGCTGCCTCCGCGCTCTTCACTTGCAGTTCTTTAGCAAGACCAAGAAGTGGCCACCACCTTAAACTGGGTTGTTCTTAAGGACCTGAACTCAAGTTGCTGTATTGTGGAAACCATAGTTAGCTAGTGGGCTTAGGGTTTTAGGATTGAGGGTCTAGGGTTTAGGGATGTCAACCACGTTCAGGGACCCGGGCGTAGTAAGAGGGCAGATGAAGATCCTGACAGGATTAACAGCTTGGGTGTTGGAATTTGGCCACGCGGGTTCCGGAATCTAGGGTCCAGGGTTCAGGTCATTCAGTGTTGATGGGATCTCTACTGTTAGGAGCTCAGGGCAATTTTTGAGCTCTACCGGGCTCTACCGCTAGTCGCCAGATTTCCGGGTCCAAAGCTGTCATACCCGCACATCAATAAGTTCAATCGCTGGGGTGACCATGATGAAGATGATGTAGACAAGAAGCAAACGCATCAGTCTGAGCAGTTTCTGCATGACTGACTGACTGAATGAAAGTGACGTACATGGTGCAACTACAATGCAAAGCCGGCTCACGTGCATTGGCTCTGGTTTTTTGCACGTGTGCCGATGGCTTCGAAAGGGCCCCATCATCCGCTGACATCAAACTTGCTGCATCTTGCTGCGCACATTTGCGTAACCGGCTTGACATCAACCCTAAACTTACTGGAGGTAGCAAGAAATGAAACCCTTAGAGTCCATCCCTTCATTCCACACAACCCACAAGTAAGTAAACCAAACGCTTCGAATCTCTACACCCAGCTTCGCTCTGCCACACAGAGTCTTGAGATCGGCCATAGTCACCTCAAGGGAGGAAGCAAACTTTTGCAGGATTGTAGGAAGCTGCTGGATGTCCTAAAAAACAAAGATTCCAAACTCTCGGGCGACCATGCATCATGGCCATTTTTTCCTACAGGTTAGTATGCCCATGCCGCAACCCCTCCCACAGAGTTGGGATTTCAAAATCCGCCATTGATGATGGCGCGATGGCTTTAACTGGGGCCAGCCTTGTTCGGGTTTAGATTCAGTGGATGTGTAAGATCATATTTTATGACAATCACTCCGATTGCAGAGATGTCTCAAAATCACGGTCCTCTGTTCGCACGTTCTTTGTAGCAGTGACCTTAAGCATAGGTGCAGGTTCGACAATCGGTTGCCTTTAGTGGCACGCCATAGAGAAGCGGCATGAGACCGGCAAAGGCATTCGGCTGCTCCTTGACTCCTTAGTATGAGACTGACAATTCCCCTGGAGCACGATTAGTCTACTTCGGGCACCAGCTATTGGGGTCAATCTCTACTTCCTTGTACATAGTCCACGACGCGATCCCTGCAACGCCCTTGCAAAGACAACCCCATTCACGTCTTCAATTATCGTTATTGATTGCTACATGCATGGCATGCATGGCCAAACTTTCTGTGATGGACAACGCTGAATGACAAAAGAGCAC